AAGAGACAGTTGCAGTATTGCTCATTAAGGAATTTTTCAGTTAAGTGTTCAGTAAACTTAAAAATTTTCTCTCAGTGTAATGCCCAATTCACCAGAAAATAGACACATTGGAGATAACTCTTCAGACATTTGTGGATTATCTTTCAAATTAGGTTTCTAGCTACCCATGATGACAGCTTCTGTGTAGTGCCTACCATGGTGAAATACAGTGGCAGACAGTTTCCTACATACCTGTATTTCACATGCTATTTTATTCACAGGCATTACATCTTATTCAAACGGTGAGGTAATTAGGGCATTGTCTTTCCCTAGGATACAAGGAACAACGACATTGGCAAGTCTTAAACTCGGTACCTCTTGCACCAAAGTTTAAATCCATATTGCACGAACTTGCCCTCTCTGTATCACTTTCATATTTAATTAGAAACACTATTGTGTGTTTTTTTTTTTTTAATATTTTTTACTTGCAGACTTTCATCCTTTCGTTTATAAATAGACTTCTTTTCAAATAGGCATTCTGTTTCAATTTCCTACTGGCGGATGAACATGGATTTATCCCGGTTGTAGTAATGAAAGTTATGAGTCTATAACGCCATTGGAACAAATTTGAAAATTAATTGCAACACAGTTTATAATTTATAAATCTGAACCTTATTGAATTATTTATTTATGTATTTTATATTCTTTTAATAAGGAAAACAATCATGTAGCCATATCAGTGTTAAGAATAACAATATTACTATTCTGATTCATGTTGTTTGGTTATGAAAGTAAACCAGTTATTAAATGTTCTTGATGGATGTGTAATTAATTACAATCTGACCTTTTAATTTTCTTGCTTCCTATTAGCCTCCCCTGTGGTTTCAACCATCAATGACATCGAGGTAGTGAGCGGTAGTGAAATCAGGGTGTCTTGTTACGCCGCAGGCTTTCCTGCACCCCTCTTCAGTTGGCTGAAAAATGGTCATGCTTTGTTGCCAAGTAGCAAAGTCAGATTCCCATCAAGTAACTCACTTTTTGTGTCTAATGCACAAAACTCTGACCAGGGTAAGTTAATAATTGATTGGTCTAACAAATTGTCTTTGAGAAACTGATCTTGATTAAGTCATAAAATTAAACAGCTTTTTGGAAAATTAAAGCGCTTCAATTTTGCAAATTTTCATTTATAAACCTCAGTTAGTCAAGCAACAGGGGTTTATAAATCACCAATATTCACGGCAGAAATATTGTTCAGTGGTTCTATAACATTGTTATTTGTGACTTGCTCTGGCAAAACCCTCTGGCATTTTCCAATTTCTCACAAGAACATTTTCATGTTTTTGCATTTTATGAAAGAAGATATATTGAAGAACATTTCTGTAAGATATTAATCACTAAATCTAACTGAAAAGTATATTACAGTTATTTTTAAAGTAAATATCTTAATAATAAACTATTGATTATTGAATCTTTGGAAGCTATTTTCTCAAAACCTACATGGCTGATATCCAATGAAATAAATTTCATGACTTTGCTAATACTCAAGCAATTTCCATCAACTAAACACTGTTTTAAAGAAGACTACTTGCAGAATCGAAAAACACCAAAAACTCAATTTTGAATTTTTCCTACAAACAGAGGGTTTTGCAAGAGCTGGCACATTTTCAAAGTGCATGTAATGAGATTATTCAAGATAAATTATCCTTCAATATCAAAACAAAGAAATAAAAATGCACTCCTTTTGTTTAATTATTTTAATTGAATTTTTTATGTTCCAGTCCTATTTTTACTCTCAAGTTTATAATTTCAGAAATTGAGCAATTCAAACAAGATCTATAAATATTGCATATCTTTCATCACATTTTCACCACTCTATTTTTACTAGAAATTAATTCAAGTTGTGGCAGACAAATTGCTGTTAAAACAAAGTTGATCTGAAGAGATAACGTCATTCATTTTATCTGTAGAACATTATATTACAACTTTATGACAGAAATTTACAAGTCAATCTTAAAGTATAACAGGAGCACATTATATGTGTCAGGGATTTTATTCCGTCATAATTCAGAACAAACTGTGTTCGTTGAAGGATTATTTTACATCATAAGCATGACTGGTGTGCAGGGGAGCCTGGTTTTAAGGAACAATCAATTAATGTGCATGAATGTGATTTCCTGTCTTAGGTACTTACATGTGTGTAGCTTCGAATGGAATTGGCAGTGACAGGGACAGCTTCTACATATCGGTTGTAGGTAAGGAAGAGGCAATTTGTAGTTGCCTGGCAATACAATATAGTCATTACAATTGCTCAAAGTTGCAGCAAATCAGGAGCTAGCTGGTTCTGACTCAGATACCATGTGCTTTTCCTCATCTTTATTTTTATTAAATTTTAAATTTGCTATGTTAGGGAAAGTAATCTATTTTTTATTGCATGTATCAATTTTACTAATACTCTTTATTATAGCAACATAGTTCAAGCATGCTTTAAACCTGTCTTTTTCTTGATCTGTAATCCATTCCTTAAGCTCTTAAGTTAGCCAGGATAAAAAAATCAAAGCTCTTAAACCTGATACCAGATTGCCTATCTGTCATGTATGATTGCACAAGTATAGTGAAACGTTATATATAATATACAGGTCAATCAGTAGGGTCATTCCCATATCAGGACTGCCTGTGATCTCTGATAAGATGGATAAAAAAAATCTAGGTTCCATGAAAGGTTTTGGGAAGTAATACTTTCTACTGACAACATATTAAAATTACGATAACTTTTTTTTTTAGACGATGTTAAATTGAAAGGTCAAATAAAGGTCACTTGTGTTTGTTGTATTTTAATATACTAAAAGGCAGGTGGTGGTATTTTTGTTTCATTTTGTTTACTATGTACCTTTATTCCACAATTATTCTCTTAAAAGAACATATGTAGTCAAATTTGACAGGGTAATAAATTTTATTATTTCTATTATTGTTATTTTTAAGAAAATATTTTATGTGGTAGTATAGTTCAGTGGTAGTCTTCCCTTGGCTAGGTCCGAAGCTCCCATTTCTGCCATCTACCTCCACATATGGATGTTGTATGGATGTCTGTTATGTAGTAGGAATTTATAATTATACCTTTAGTTAATTGGAGAGACCAGAGGTCACCTTAAGTCATTCATAACATTAGATGTTTGCTATGTATACAACAGATATATGACTAACATATCCATAAACCTGATTGTGCATTTTATCTTTATAGCCAAGCCTGGCCCACCGCAGATTCAGGTGGTAGTTGCTGTGAATCACATGTCTGTTAATCTGACTTGGGTGCCTACTGGCGATGTGACAGATTCTAAGCAATACACTGTACAGTACAAGCAAATGTAGGTTTTAATTTAAAAATCATTTGGCTTTAGATGTTTATACATACAATTACATTCATAGGCTTAGCCAGCGAGCCGTCCGACCGTCTTTTGGACGGCCTACATTTATTTAAGACGGCCACTTTTACCATGACGGCTTGGATGGCTTGGCCTAATCAACTCATCCTAGCCTAATTGGGCCTGGTCTGCTTTAGCAAATTCTTTATATTCTTCAAGTCTATCATATGTTATATTAAACGAAAGCTAAATAATATTTACGTTGGATAAAAACAACATTTATTGATTGAATGTACGTTGTTTTCATACAGGTACTAATATTTGGTGAGGATTCCCAAAGATGGGCGTGGCCCCGAGTGGGCGCCAACCGCCCATCGGATCTGTGCCATGCCCACTGGGCCATGCCCATTTTGGACGGCCTATTTTGTTTTTCTTGCTAAATCCCTGATTACATTATAAGACATATGCAAAGAAGTGTGTAAGGGCTAACAATTATTGTATTCCATTTCTCTCCACAGTATATCTGCTTTATGGGTGACCTATGCTGACAATATAGTATCAACACCTGGTATCCAGAGCTACGTCGTCAGTGGATTAATAGAGTCCCAGACTTACATGTTCCGTGTGTTTGCAAAGAACAGCATCTCTGTTTCTAATCCTAGCACTGTAGCCACCTTTATGACACCATCAGTTTCAGGTAATTCATCTCAAGAGTATCGTTGTTTCTAGCAATATTGATTATTGTATTTTCTTTATATATATTCAGCAAATTCAATTGAAGTATTTTGGTCTTTGTTTTAATTTATTTTACTGTAAGTTATGATGCTGATGGACTTTTCGATATGCAAGACAAAATGGCTCGAAAATACCCAATGGTTGTCAAATCAAAGCTGTTTTTGAGTTTAGTTTTACAGCTTTTCTCTTTTGCTTCATTTATATTGTCATGCACCCAGAAGTTATCTCAATGTGAAAATGTGATGTGCTATATGAATCAACAATTATTTTTTCATTTACACATTTTCAACTCAGTAACAACTTGTTGTGTTTTTTTTTTATTTCCTTAAAGGCCCCTCTGCACCTAGAAACTTACAGGTGCGTTCAGGCAACTCATCAGCTGTTGCTCTCACTTGGGAGATTCCTTCAACAAGATATGCTCCGATTCACAAGTATGAGGTCAACTATTATCCAAGTTTAACAATGACAGGTAAACAAAAGTCATACGAAATCTCTATTTTACCAACAACAGTATAAAAATAAAAACCTATCGGTTTGTTTCCCTAATACACTCCACTTAATAGAAAATTTACAGACCTTAAAGGAAAAGTAGAGGACAAAACATAAGAAAAAACAGAAGGAGGATAAAAAAAAATTAAATAGTAAAGATGGATTACATTACCATCCATGCTCAAACATACTGAAACTCAATATTAAATTGGCTGTGGTTCAGCATCTAGAGGCTGTAAGACTGTAAGGATGATAAACTCCAGTTTTATCAAAGAAAAAAAACTGGAGTGCCATATGTGACATCATTGATTGTATATCACCAACATTTAATGGATTCTTTTAATTAAAAAGCAATCAATAATTTAAACCTTTCAGATCAAAAGGTAGTTGAAATTGCTGGAGGCGTTGAGCCAACTGTAGAAGAAACCATAACAGGACTGATGGCGGGGACGAGCTATTCTTTTCGAGTGCGAGCTTCAACCGTGACAGCGGGCCTGGAGCAGTGGGGTGACTACTCAATTGTGACTATGTTCACCACTAGCCCAGCTCGTAAGTATTAACCGATTGATTTTTTTAGTAACATACATTGGGAACAACCTTTTACTAATTACAGATAAATGTTTTGTTTTTTTTAGTTTTCTTACAAATTTGTAGAACTATAGCATTGAAATGGATACTAGTCACTACGTTCATAAATACACAAAACTACATTTATTAACTATCCATATGTGTAATTCTCATCACAACTTTTATACCTCTCTAAGGAATAAAAAAGAGAAAAAAATAAATCAGGCTGGGAAATATGTGATGTCTCCAATTGAACTTTTTCCAGTCATGGTTATTAGATTAACATCCTATCAGATTTCAATCAGTCTGCTATCATCTTCATTTAAGACATCGACATCTTACAAGATTAAAGTATTTAGCCCTGCATAGGCTATCAGGATTTTTTTTCAGATTCAACAGACACTACAGTATTTGATTTTTTTTTTAAATTACAAATTCTTAAAATGGCCTTTTAGCATGGAACATAACATCATACAATTTTGGTATGCCAACATTTACAGAGATTATTCTTCTCAGTTAATGTTCATGATTTCCATGCTAAAATGAGTGAGTAATGCACATTCTCAGATTTCACGTTAGGGATTTACTAGTATCCTTAGGCCTGACACTTATTTTTTTTTTCCATGATATCAGTATCAATGTCAGTGTATATGTGGGTGACTGGTACATCAGCTGCCAATTATTGAGGAATGCACTCCCCAGGAAGCTGGGCATGTGTTTTAATGTCTATAGTAATAATGAAATACATAGAGGTCATGTTAAGTAAAGTTACCCAATTGTTTCTAGTTGGAAACTAGAACATTTTTGCTAGGCCTCTGTGTATCCATGGCAGCTGTAATGTTGCATCACACCTTGGTGTGCATTGGATAGTATACCTTGTACATGGATTATTTTGTACATGGGATTAATGGCACATTAAAAGGGAAAGCAACTTGATAGAGTAGGACTACAGACACAAAGATTTTCATAGCTCAGAGCACACATAGTGGTCACCACAAGTGTTTACCAATTGCTCTATGTTGCTCTGGATTATGTAGTAAGCAAGATTGCTACTAATGCTGCAAGCAGACATCTCTATATGCCATGAGTGAGCCATTTAAAATGTCAGTCATTAAATATATGGAAGTAGCAAGCACACTTAAGGATTTTGGAGGATGTGACTTACTCCAAGCATAATCTTTTGAAGTATTGGTCAGATTATCTGCTAGGTACTCTTAAATGCTTTCCAAGGCTTGAAGTGACTCAGTGACATAATGGATGAAGATGGGATTATTGAAAAAAAAAAAGAATAAAAAATGGCTACACCAGACTGGAATGACATAAGCAAAATATCTTCATGCACCATTTCTTGGTAGTAGCTTATTTAAAATTTAATAAACCAAGTTTAAATATTAACTTAACAGGCATGTTGCATAGTAACTACCAGAAAAGTGTACAGTTTGTGTACAACACCCACAATACAATAGAAGTAAAAAAATATATATATATAAAATAGAACACTAGTAATGACCATTGCATGGCAACATTTTAAACTATGCTATTAAAATAATCAATAAAAAGTGGCCTAAGTAAATAATAATAATAATTTTTATTATTATTGTTCTTGTTATTGCTATTCATATCAACAACATTCATTCAGAACTGGATAATACCAGTTACCAGTTTGAATGATATATTTTTATTTATAAATTTATATTTCTGACCTTTTCCTTATTTTGCCCCTGTTCTATCTAACTTAGTTTTGAGGTTGTACTACATATTATGTGCTAAGGGTCATCTATTTCATCCACAGCTCCTGCTGTTTCCCCATCCAATATTGGTCTTCTCAGCACCTCGCCAACTACTATCAAACTTACTTGGACCGTGAGTAATAAAATCTGACTATTAATCAATTTCTAATATAGTTTCTCAGTTCAAATTTACAATGTGAAATTTATTTTTAGGATTTGTTCATGTTATTTGAATACCTTCATTTGAATGTACCATTTATAATACTTTATGATTTTTTTTAAAATACTCCACCAGAAGATAGTCTTTAAGCAAGAGATAATTATGTTGATGATAACATTACTTCTTACAGGAAATCCCAGCAATGTTCTTATCTGAACCGTTACTTGGTTACAACATTGAGTACAGCACTAGTGCTATTACCAAGACCTTAAGATTGTCAGGCGTCACTACAAAGGCAACATTGACAAACTTGCAACACTATACTTTGTACACGATTCGGATCCAGGGTTTTAGTGAATCTGGATTTGGACCATATAGCTCTCCGATGACAGTACAAACACTACCTGGAGGTAATAAGCTATTATTTTTATTTATGCCACATAAAATATCAAAATACAAAACAAGGTCATGTAAGCATGGAAGCAATGATTACTGATTTGTTTAACTATTAGTCAAACAAATATTTTATTTGTAGAAAAACAGGAAAGTCACTTTTATTTAAATAATTTTTTTATGACTTAACAGTTGTTATCTTTGCATTATTATTTGAATGCAACAACCAATCTTCAATAACTGTTAGTTATTGAAAGGTGTATTTGAGGACAGTTAATTTAGATTATGGTTTTGAAAATACGCAACATTATAGAGTACCACAGTTGTGTCGTTATGACGCCAGGTGGCACTCTCTGTTATCAACAGACGTTGGTAACTGTCCATTACCCCTGAATGACTTCATAGGCTTTCTGGAATAGGCATTTTAAAATCTAATATTTTACCATCAAAATGTACTAAAGACACAAAAGCTTGCATTATATTAGTTATCAAACGCACTTTTACTCATCAATTACAATTTTAAAATAAAATAGTAAGATACAACATCTTAATAAGTACATTAGAAATTGGGATTAATGGTTTGTCAGTGAAGAAAACGGCGTCTGGTTGAACGCTTTTTGCAAAGATAGCAGCAGAGTAGTATCAGACGGTATCGTGACGTAACAATGTAGTACTCTATGCTAACCTTGGTTGTGCTTAGTTTTTTATTTGTTATATTCTTTGCAGCACCCTCATCAGCACCGACTGCTTTAACTGCAAGTGCTACCAGTCAGACAAGTCTCCAAGTCTCATGGAATGTAAGTTGTTGTGTCATTAGTTGCAACCATTTGTTTTGCATAAAATCGATTTTTTTATAAATTTTAAATTATTTTTTATTTTAAAACCTCTATTCTCCAGAAAAATTGCACACATTGAGCGGTACTTAGTTAAGCCTGGTTTCCATAGTATCAAAGTCACTAACAGCTTTTTTTACTGCAATACTCGCACTGCGTAGCTGTCTCCAACGCAATCGGAACGCTCCCTGGTTCAACTGACCAATTGGCCTCGCCAAAGGAGTCGGGAAAAACGTGCAGCGATTTTTATGGAAGTCAGGTTTTATTCTCCAAGAAGACTTGGTCCCACTTAACTGAACAATGAATACGATGTGTCTTCCACTAGTGCTGAAGGCTACTGGTCGAGGTGCTCCTGCCTTGATACTCTGTTAAAAATGGTCCCATTGTAACTATGTTTCTACCCATTGGTTACAGGGTGTTTCTGAGGCCACAGGTAATGGCCCTTTGTCTGGTTACATTGTGCACTACCAACACCTTTTGGACCAGGTTTTGTTCAACATCACTGTACGTGCTCCACAAACCTCCACCAATATCTCAGGTTTGTACTCAATATTGTGTAAAATATTGTTTTGTTTTAGTTATATGTTTATAAAATTAGAGACTGGTTTTATTTATACTTCATATTTGTTTGAAAATAATTGTTTTTTTAAATCTGTGAATAAGTTTTTTTTTTATTAATCATCAACATTATCAGCTTCACTGTGATATATAGAATAATTGTTTTTTCTAACATATGATATAAGAAGCATTTTGTAAATATTTTTTGAATTCACAGAATCAGTAGGTTTTACATCTTGAACAAAACTTAATAGTTCTTGGATAAATATGTATATGCAGTTCAAAGAAGACAGAGCCAGCTCTGTAAATTGGAATGTGTATGTTGTGATTTCAAGGTCTAACTAGTACCATTATAATTATAATTAATAAATAATGTGTTTTACATAAACTTGATGATGTACTATAGGACTGCAAGCTGGCAACAGTTACATATTGCAAGTTTCAGCATACAACCAAGTTGGAACTAGAATTGTAGAGGGGCCAAGAACAGAGTCCATAACAGCTACCACAATGGATGGAAGTAAGATCTAAATGTTACTAGTCTTATTCCTACTGTACTTTTAGATAATATTTATAGATAAAGGCTTATTTCCATGTATGCAAATTACAGTTTATAACCAGTAGAACTAGTGCCTAACCAGTAGCTACATCTGTACTCAACAATTTTATATCATTCAATATTTATTCAGTTAGACATACCTTCTCCAAAACTAAATTAACCAATTTATATGCAAATGCTTCTGTTGTTTGAAAATTTATTGAAATACTTTTTTCTACATATTAAAAATAGAAATATTTACAATTTTTGAATGTTTTTAAACGTCATTTGCAGTTCCTGGTCCAGTGCGTAATGTAGCAGCTACACCTGGCCCAACATTTCTTGTGATACGATGGTGGTCACCTGAACAAAATAATGGTGAAATATTGGATTATACTTTAGAGTACAAACGTATAAAACCAACAATAGCTAATAGACAAGGTAAGAATGGGTTTGGCTTTTAATAATTATGTAACAGCTTTTACAGTCTGAAGTAAGGTACTATTTCCACAGGAATTTTTTAAGATCATTTACAGATATTTAATATAATTACAGATAATAATAGATTTATGATGGTATCAGATAATCAATTGCTAAAATACATGACCTAATTAATACTGATTGTTATTCTGATTGGTTAATAATATTTTGTTTTTAAAAATATATATTGTGTCCTATCTTGTTCCAACACAGGGTCTTTGAACCAGCAGATTGTATGGGCCAATGCTACTTCTGGTGTCATAGTGACAAATGGGCTGGTATATAAATTGGAAGGTCTACTGCCTAACAGCACTTATAGGGTGTCCATCAAAGCTAGGACATCAGCAGGCCTAGCTGAGGAGGCAATTGTCAATGATTTCACAACAGGTTGGTCAAACTTACACGAGGCTTTATTTTTCCAACAGTTCTTCTGATTTGTACATAGTTTGATTGATTTTGCTTATTAGTAGTGTACAAGTGGCCAGATTAAATTTTTTGATGGGAAGCCAATACAGTCGTACCACTGTCTCTGATATCTAATAACATGTGAAGTCATATTTAGTTTCCGAAATTCAATCATATATGTTTCTTAATATATTGTTAAGATACAGCCTGTATTTTCATTACCACGATTTATAATTTTTTCCTTCTGTTTCTTGCCTAGGTGAAATAGCTGTTACTGCAGCACCGTCGGGGCTTCCTCCCTCCTCTACTACTCCAGATAGTGGTATTAACATACCAGCAACAGATTCAGCACAAGAAGAAAACACATCCCCACTTAGCTTCCCTAACAAGTAATTCAGAACTGGTTATGACTTATTTTAATGTTGTGTATATTTACAGTAGTTATCAAGTCAATAGTAATCATCTAATTAGTTCTAATAACAATTTATTGCCAAGTCGTTGTTTTCTACGTATTAAACTTTATAATAGTTTACATAAAAATGTTGGTTCGAAAATTTATTACAGGGATTCTCTGCTTATAATATAATAATAATTCTGGATTTATATAGCGCCTCACGTTGTCACAACTTTGAGGCACTTAACAACAGCATAAAAGAAAAAAATAATTAATTAATTAATTAACAGGCTAATACAGTATATAAAACAAGATAGTAATGTACAAGTGCACCATTAATTATTTACCTGATTTATTTTAGAGTTTAGTTCAACAATTAATGCTTCAGTTTATTTCTGTGTTTTTTATAGTTTTTAATTAGCTTGCACATCTAAATTACTATTAACTTAATATTTACCTGGTTTATGTTTGAGCTCAAAATGCATATAAAAAGATACTGTCAGTTTTATACATCTCCATAAACAACATTATCACTGTAACCAATTGAAAAGTGATGGAGGAGAGAGGTTTTGGTTTCTTAAACTATTTTGACAACATTTGACAGCAGATAAAATCAAATTCAATCTCAATGCATGTATTGGCAACTATTGTATGTTCCACTTCTTAGTAGGAGAGTATATAGGCTAGTATAGTCTCCATGTGAAATGACAAGGCAGTAAAAGCAAAAGCAATAATTAAAAAAATTAGATTCTGGAATTTTGACAACAGTGACGTTGGTTAGATAATTACCTAACAGAAAATTATATAAGAGTTGCACACCAACTCCCAATATCTGTTGTTTATACTGTAGTCTTTTTGATACTGCAGGACAAGTTTGATCATATTCATTTGCTGTGTGGTGTTAGCTGGGGTGGCCTTTGCAATGGCCGCTGTTGTGCTCCTTGTATGGTGCAAATCTTTGGAGGACAACAACTTGAAGCGAAAGTCAGCATCATTTTGTAAGTTTTTGAACCTTGTTTGTGCCTCAGTAATTCATTGATTGGTAAAACATACCTTTGTATTGGGAATGAATAAGGTACAGACTTGAGGTTGTTTTCGAACTACAGACCCTGGGTTCAAAACCTTCCCTCATCTTTTTTATTTTATCAGAATCATTTTTCTTTATCTACTTGCTTCTAAGTTTCATTATTTGATGTTATTGATTTTTTCTATTGAACCAATCACTGATGATTTTGATTTCAGTGTTACCCAATGAACAGCTTTCAGGTGGGGGAAGCAGTGCAGCTAGTGACCATGTTGCCATGACAACACAGTTATCCACCTCTGGTATTTCTACTATGTAAGTAAAACATTAGTTGCTATTTACTGCTGCTACAAATATTTCTGCCAAAAATGCCACTATTAGTTTTATTGAATAAAGTTAGCCTTTTTGGTATAATTTGTAAAGCATTTTGAAGAGGTATAATTGAAAATGTGCTGTTGTTATTATTTTTGTAGTTTTTATTAATCTTTAACCAAAATGAACATTATTGTTTATTTGATCTGTTACAAAATTTTCTCTGACCTGTGCAGAACTCAAGGTAGAACGGATGTTCAATTTGTAGAGCCTTTCACCCCAGAAAGTAAACCTGTTGTCGCCACTAGTCCTACACCCACCACAAATGGACATCAGAGACATTTCCAGACAATGACCCCTCAACCTGTCTCTTATACACATCTAGATGTGTATAAGAGACAGTTTATACTGTAGTCTTTTTGATACTGCAGGACAAGTTTGATCATATTCATTTGCTGTGTGGTGTTAGCTGGGGTGGCCTTTGCAATGGCCGCTGTTGTGCTCCTTGTATGGTGCAAATCTTTGGAGGACAACAACTTGAAGCGAAAGTCAGCATCATTTTGTAAGTCTTTGAACCTTGTTTGTGCCTCAGTAATTCATTAATTGGTAACATATACCTTTGTCTTGGGAATGAATAAGGTACAGGCTTGAGGTTGTTTTCGAACCACAGACCCTGGGTTCAAAACCTTCCCTCATCTTTTTTCTTTTATCAGAATCATTTTTCTTTATCTACTTGCTTCTAAGTTTCATTATTTGATGTTATTGATTTTTTCTATTGAACCAATCACTGATGATTTTGATTTCAGTGTTACCCAATGAACAGCTTTCAGGTGGGGGAAGCAGTGCAGCTAGTGACCATGTTGCCATGACAACACAGTTATCCACCTCTGGTATTTCTACTATGTAAGTAAAACATTAGTTGCTATTTACTGCTGCTACAAATATTTCTGGCAAAAATGCCACTATTAGTTTTATTGAATAAAGTTAGCCTTTTTGGTATTCTAAATTTGTAAAGCATTTTGAAGAGGTATAATTGAAAATGTGCTGTTGTTATTATTTTTGTAGTTTTTATTAATCTTTAACCAAAATGAACATTATTGTTTATTTGATCTGTTACAAAATTTTCTCTGACCTGTGCAGGACTCAAGGTAGAACGGATGTTCAATTTGTAGAGCCTTTCACCCCAGAAAGTAAACCTGTCGTCGCCACTAGTACTACACCCACCACAAATGGACATCAGAGACATTTCCAGACAATGACCCCTCAACCTACTAGAATTCAATCAGCTTCACCAAATCTATATGCACCTAGGAGGCCAGCACCAAAAACTCCAAATGGTAAGCGATTGTATTCCACCACTGTCTTGTTTCAAGCATTGAAAAAGGTTCAGTTTCTCCCTCCAATTTGAGATCACTTTGGGACACTGAAAATGTTACGTGATATCGGTGTTCGGCCTCCAATTAGATGGTTAGTTTGTTTTTAAAAATGGATGATTGTTATTTGTATCTTGGAAAAAGTCTCGAATTAGAGGAGTCTCAAATTGGAGTGTGCAATGTATTTCATCTTTAAAGATAATACTTAACTTGACCTCTGGGGTAGTTAAATATTATATTTCAGTTCAAATTTTAAAATTATATTTTTTGTTGGGGGACCTATGGCAATCACAGTGCAGCACCTACCGACATGTAGCAAATACAAATGGATACAAACATTTTTCTGTAGCCCACCTAACTCTCATGTGAGGGTTGTTCCAAGAGCTGAGGGATCAGATCTATCTTTAATTCTCTATATCCTAGCATCTTTTACCTGGTGCCCTTTCATGTGTTATTTGATTTATTGATCAACAATGTTTTTGCAAATGAACAAACTATTGATTCATTCCTCAGGTGGTTAATCATTATGCATCAGTTTATCATTATGGACAGTAGCTGCCATAATTTGCTATGTATACTCCATTTTATAGAGATTTTAGTTGATGTTATCGATTGCATCCTGAGTTATGGGAGTCACATCTATGTATTATAAAATACAATAACCTTCCTGTTTGAAACCACACCATCTGAAATAATCTACAAGTAATGAATAGTAGACTCATGACAAGTTCTTCAAACACAATCAAATATTATTCATCGTATTGCTGTGTAAACACACTTACCATTTCAACTACACTGTTGTAATAGCGCATACTGCACCAACAATCCGCACACACACAGCTAAATGTAGTACACGCACAGATGATCATATCACTATAGCAACCGATGACTACTTCAATAGTTTAATTGTAAAACTAACATTAAAAGACAGCGATTTAATTTTAAAGCAATTAGAATAGTGCTTATCTATACACTATGTGGAAGTGATTATACTTAGGCTTATTAGCTCATGATACAATTCATAGTTCCATTCTTCAATTTACATTCTAAAATTTATACTTTGTGTTGTTCAGGTGTGAATGGTGCTGCTGGTGCAAAACCTCTGTCTGCTAAACTTCAGGCAGAAGACACATCACCCGAGAGCTTAGATCTTCTATTTACAGAGGTAAGAATCATACAACCATATGCATATTATTGATATTTGTTTCCACCAATCATAAAAAAAAAATATCAATTTGATGTTTATTTGTTTGCACTTGTTGTTTTAACCCTATCATTAATGAAGAATTCATTAATTAACAAAACATTAATTATAAATAATCATAAATAACAATATAATCATTTTTTCAATGTTATTTTCATTTGTACTTTGTTGATGTTGCATCATGGAGCAAAACCAATTTCTATGTTTCTGACAAATGATAATAAAGTGTATGTGTATCTGTAGTCAGAAAGATACCGTCATCTAATGTATTACCTCATTAAGTAAATTAATTAATATGAAGGATAGTGTCAGAAAAATGCTGCCAACCTTGATCTGGTTCATAAACAATCATCAATTGTCCTTCCCAGATATCGGGAAATCTGGTGCATCAGCAGAATCTCGCAGCCATTGCATCACTCCTGGACCAGGAAGAGGAACAACCTGCACCAGTTGATGATGCCTCCTCATATATGATCACAAAACAGCGGACAACGTTATGATTATGTTTTAATGTGCGTGTGAGTGGGTGCGTTTTCATCATTACCTTCATGGCATTCAATGAAGATTTATATAACATTTTATATAACACATTTCATTTAATATTATGTGAATAGAATTTGGTGAACATACATTATATAACAGTATTACATAAAGTTATATAATGTACTAGGAAGATTTCGTTGTATTATATAAATGTATTATGTGTTGCATAATATATTTACAAGATTTGCTAATCATTTAGCATTACACTCATCATTTTTATGATTATCCTAAAAAATATAGTGTATAACAATTATATTATATTATATAAGTAGGCCTATGTGGTAAGCCCCTCTACTGGATCTGCCCATCTAATCAATCATAGTTCAACTTCATTTGAATAAGATTCATGATCGTTAAAGCTGAGCACTCACTGCGGCCCGATGGTCGTCAGCCGCCACGATTCCAGGGAGAACAGAGCTCGACAATGGGCGTGCAACGATTCATTTTTAATGACGGTTCGTTCAGTCAGCCATTGACAATCAGTCGAGGGCGTCTCTGCGTCTAGCGTTTACAGGGAGCAGATTTTGATTCGTCGGCCGATCGTCGCTATGACTTGTAAGACGCAGTGTTTGCCCTGCTTAAGATACCAGTAATCCCTATTACATTGCATTTTTATACTACTGTATATGTTTTCCCCTTCTGGAAGTTGTGAAAAGTTTTTGCTGTTAGTTTGGTGTAAAGATTAATACAGTTCTCCCTCCAAGGAAAGACTCCTCTAATGTAGAACCACCTCCAATTAAAGACCACTTTTCTGTGGTCCCAAATTAACAAATTTCTTTTATCTTTATTATTCTAATTAGAGACCAAAGCTGCTAAAGACTATGGAAACCCCAGTCCCAAAAGTGGTCTTTAATTGGAGGGAGACCTGTAATGTAAATAAATAAATTTAAATTATCAATCATTTAACAGTGCTTGAGTTTGTATTGACGGATGCTAGGTCATTTGGTTAACTTTGGTTAACAACCTGCTACATTGGCAAACAGTACTTTGCTAAGCCATAATCAAGATTAAAGAGAATTGTAACATCAAACATGTTTAATTCCCATATCTTTCTCTTTTTTTGTTTTTTTTATTTCATTTTATGTTCATTCCTTACCCCATATTATTTATATTTTTATATTGTAAATATTTATTATTTAAAAAATATTTCAAGAAGGGAACTCTTGCAGAAGTAGTAATGCAGCAACTTTGTTTCTAGGACTAAAGACCTTATAGTAAGTTTGGACATGACAAACCCAGAGGCAGATCAAAAAGAAAGGGTATGGGGCCCGTTCTGACTCCAACAAATTCAGCAGTGAAAAAATTGCCTTTTAGGCCAATAAACTTATAAGTATTATAAAAACCAAATAACTGATTTTGTAAAATACTTTTAAATATCATTTGTGGCTATTTTTGCATATTTAAAAACTGTTTTCCAAAGCATATGAGTTTATTACGTTTATAAGATCAGCGAATTGTTTCATTTTATATATTACCTATAGTTTTTATAAGCTGTAGTTTTTATCAGATTTTCTATGTCATACACCGTCCTTTTGTAGATCCCTCAAAACAGCCATTGTAATTTTTTAAAGTGCATCCATTTAACTGTATTCACAGTGGTTGTCACCGTTGTATATTTTGTTAGTATTTAAAGATTGTCTACTTAATGTACTCCGTCCTTTTTAAAATATTGGTAATACTTGTTATATAACCTATATTTTGTTAGTATTTAAAGCTTTTCTATGTCAATCTCTCATATTTACATTTTTGGATGCAACCATGTGAAGATGTATCATTTTATAATAGAATAACTGTATTTTTAATCTTGTAGTTTTTGTCAATGCATTTTCTATTTCATACGTCATCCTTTTTTAGAACATTCAAGACAATCATAATAACGTTAAAAGTGTATTTTACTAACTGGTTTGTGAACACACTTTATGTTAGCAATATTTGTTATAACAAAGTATTTTACTTTCACTAAATAAATTCCATCCTTTTTTAGTTTAATGCAGTCATCTAAACAAATATTTGTACCCTATTTATTGGACACGCATCTCTAAGTTGGTAATACACCTACCTCTATAGAAAATAACAGTATATTTTGATAGCATTTAAAGATTCTCTTTAAATGCTATCAAAATGCTTACACTCTGTCTTAATTATTCCTTTTTTATATCTGTAATTTGTAATACATAGAAATTTTAAATATCATTTCAGTATTTTTTTAGGTTGTACTTAAAAATAACATTGTCCATCCTATGATGGTAGCATTTAAAGATTCTCTGTCTTATTTATTCCTTTTTTATGTCTGTAATTTGTAATACATAGAAACCTTGAATATCATTTCAGTAATTTTTTAAAATTTGTACTTATTAACATTGTCCGTCCTTTGATAATTCATCTGCAATGTTGTGAAAATAATTCATTTATAAAAAAGTATGATATTGAAAATAATATATAAAGAAACGTATCAATACTCAAAAAGTATTGTTTGTATTTTCAGTATTTTTTTAGTTCTTTTCCTGCCCAAAATTTCTGTGAGTACTGGTTTTGATTCTTAATTTCTATTAAATTATCGGTAATAGCTACAAAAAAAAATGGTATATTGAAGAAGATATTATGTACATTGGTATGAGATATACCACAATGTGATTTCTCTTGTTATTGTTTTACATCACTTTTGTATGTAGCTTTTTAGTATAAATAATTTATATTGCTATTTTTGCAGGATAATAAAAAGAACTAGAATTAATTAATAATTTTCAAAAGCATCATCTGTAAAAACACTGTAAAGTCAGATGTATACACCTTATGGTTAAAAAATGAAACATATCAAGCAAAAGGTCATTCTATCAGCATTTTTGAACTGGAACAACTTACTATTAACCTAACTCTGAACTTTGAGATTTTCAGCCAAATTACTGTGTTTTATAAATACTCCCACATAGATATAGTTCTCATTAATGATTTTCTTACATTTTTTATTTTCCATCTTCAAATTATGTTCAACTATTGTATTTTTATGTTATTTGTTATGCGATTTATTCTGGACCAGTGGCTTTTCCATTAATTTGCTATTTAGAATAAACTTTAAATATTGAACGAAAGTTCAGATTGAAATATGAATGAAAAGGTATATAATTAAGAAGAATGTTGGATTAATTTCTATAATTCATTATAATAATACAACGTTTAAATTGTTAGTGCAACTTAAAAAATTTTAATTTAATAATTTTGGAAAAAAAACCACTTAAATAAAATAAAATGAAATAGAGTTGAACTGAATTGTATATATTTCTTGCTTTTAAGATATAATGCTATAGATGAATACCAACATTAATGACCAAATATATATATATATATATTTATTTATGTAACTATATAATATATGTATAGTTTATGTAACTATACAAATATAAAATTTTGCATGGTGCCTTACACTTATGCGCAATTTTTTTCTATAGATCAAATCATATTTCCAATATTTATGTTTGTGCTACCTTGTCTGAAAAAAAATTGTATCTTTGATAAACACCTTGTTGATAAATTGTCTTTCTTGTAAACAGTACTTAACATTCACCTTATTGGTACAAATTGCATAGGCAATCAATATATATTTCTTAAAGGGTTCATAATTGTATTCTTTTATGCAGTCATAACATGGATACTTAACCTCTAGTAATAGAGATGATAGATTTTTTTTTTACAATTGAAGGTTGGTTTTTTTCTTCATCTTTTGGTAAACAGAAAGACACAAGCAATAGATAATGTAATATTAAACTATCAAATGTTATTTACTACTTAAAAGCAGAAATTATATTTCTGTTTGTTTTGCTTTGGAAGCTTTTATATTTGTTATCTGCATCTATTTTTAAGATTGGTGTGTTGTTTGTTGAACTTTTCTTGATGTTTTGTGCAATGGTATACTGTATATTTGTATCAGCTGCTTACATGGGAATGAATATACAGTACTTGCTAATAACTGAATAAAACTGCAAGATTTAGTACCTATGTGTTAATCTTCAAAGTATTTCATTTAGCTTTAGTATATTGTATATATATATATATATATATTACCATATATACTTGTGTATAAGGCTACCCGTGTGTAAGTTTGAGAAGATTTGTGGACGATTTTTGTATGTTGGGTGTATAGGACGCCCCCACTTGTTTCATCATCAATATTCCTCATTTTGCTACTTTTGATACTGCATCTAGCTGGCTAAAAACGGAACCAAATGTGGGGCCAATCTTCCAAATAATACCATTTTATAGGCTTTTAAATGTTCATCGTAATCTTAATTTCGCACATTTAAAATTTTGCTCATTCATACTAACAGTAGCTTCATTTCAGTTGTAGTAAATTTGTGTGTTACAGATGGTCCGCACATAAAGACAAACTCAAAAATTATTTTAAGTTGCGCATATAAGACCTGTTTTTCGATCGTAATTTGCTATTTTAAGCCTTGTCTTATACGCGAGGATATAGGGTATGATAAATTGAATCTGTATAATGGTTTAATAGAACCCTAAACTGGCCGGGTCCTGCACAACCTCCAAGACAAAGCGTATAAAGTCCATAGATGATTAGGCTGTAATACCACCAAGCAGTCAGACCTCTGATAGAGGTAGAATCACTCTAAGCAAGTACTCTTTCACAATAAAAAAAAAAGTGCTGATGTAACTGTAAATGTTTGGGTTTTCCATTTGAGCACTCAACCCCACCCCACCCCCTCCCCCGACCTTGTTTACTGTTATACCTTATTTATTTGAATGTTTTATTTTAACGCCATCTCTAGAGCCTCATTTGAAATAACGCCTCCCTCAAACATATGCCCCCCCCCCCCCCCCCCCCCCCCCCCCCA